TTTTCTACTGAAGTGACAAAAAAAGAAAAGTAAAAAAGAGAATGTAATTTGTACTTTTACTTTGTACTGAAGTACTTTAAAATGCATGTACTTCTGAATACTTAAGTATTTTCAAAAGTAAGTACTTCAGTACTTTTACTTGAGTAGATTTTTTGACTGAGTAACTTTTACTTGTAGTGGAGTAGATTTGACCATGAGTATCAATACTTTTACTCAAGTACTAGAGTTGAGTACTTTGTCCACCACTGCCTGTTTCTGACATTTTTCCAAGTCAGTGCAGTTTTTGTTTGATGTGTATTTAATTTTATATTCATGTATTTTATTGGTCACATTGGTCATTTTTGTACAACAGATCTCTCGTGCAAATATGAGAACTGTTTCAACATGACTAACCTGTAGAAATAAAGGAAGTTAAATTATTTCCTGAGGCTAAACACATTATTAAAAAGACATAGATGTTGCAAATTCTGAAGATTAATTCAAAAACCACCTCAGCACATTGCACTTTGTCCAACTGTGTTTCTTTAGAGATTTATAAAGAAATATTTTCACCAGACTTTTTTTGTTTTAAAAGATAAAAGCAGTAGCAGCAGCAGGTGAGCAGATGTAAATGTGCTGTAGTTTATACAGTAACCATGAATGGATGGGAGGTTACTGAGCTCCAATGATCATGATGATGAGGGTTTATATCTGAAAATTATTAGTTGGACTCTTATTTGTGGACTGAAACATGATGTCAGCTGACTGGTTATTCTGACCCAGTAAAAAGGTTGAACAGATTATTTAATCTAACAYTGTAATCCCTGAACAGCAGTAATGATACCTGTATGAGCTCGTTGATTCTGTGGAGGTCGTCGTCAGCACCGGCCCTCTTCTTGGGAATAAGGCCTTCTTGGAGGGTGGAGAGGCGGCTGTAGACATCATGCTCCAAACTCGACTAAAACAATATCACAAGTTTAAAAACATCAGTATTTTTACACAATGACTATTTTAACAAGACATGGAAAATTATTTTATTATATAGTTTTCTTTTCATACTGTAATAAATGACATTTTATCGTGATATTCATTTAGATCAGGATCACACTGACTGATGGAACAACAATCAAAAACTAAAACCAGTGTATTTTTAAAAAACACCTAACGATAAATTGTGCAGAAAAAGGAACAAAATTAGTCAAATAAATAAATAAGTAAATAAATAAATAAATAAACGAACAAAAGCAAACAGAAAACTAATTCAGCCTGGTCAGGCTGCTTAATCAAGACTTCAGGAAAAATAAAAACTTTGTGAAAAGAAATGATAAACAAAAATACATATTCATGGATGTATTACAGGTTGTGATTAATTTAAAAATTCACTTTTACCAACTTGTTGTGAGTTTTTGTTTCATGTTTAAAACTAAAATTTCAGATCTGTGAAATGTGAAATCTTCGTGTTGAGAACTAACTTGAAACGAAACTGTAAGTGTGGTTTAGTCTTTCTCATTGTTTCTTGCATCTGTAAGGTTTACTAAAAACAATTTGGTTTAAGCTGGATGGTTCATGTAGAAACAAAGTTTTGTGTTATACTTGTACTGTGGCACACTCTCTAAACAGAGACTTCTTGAGCGTGTGAAATGAATGGGATGTCGGGGCTCACCAGCTGTCGGAGCTGAGCAGCRCACAGGTGAATTTTCCAGCCTTGAGCTCTGCATGCTACTCCTTTCTGATTGGCCATATCCTGTAAGGAGCACTTCTTTTCCTCTGAAAGGCAATAATTTTTTAATTTATTTTTTTAAAAATGGCATTAACTCTGGTCCGTGCATTCATCAGACAAACAATGAAGAGATGCTTACCTTTGACCCGGATGTCGCTGTACCTCTGAAAGTGATGGTAGGCAGCCTTCCAGGGGTTCCTGTAGTGTCGCAGAAGTGTGATGGGTGGACGAGGCCTGACCGGCACGTATCGAACACCTTCTTCATCTTCAAGAAAAAAACCAGGTGGTTAACACTGACAGGTTAACGCTGACAGGTTAACACTGTTAAGGTTAACACTGACAGATCACACCCAGTCTGCAGCACCTGACTGTAAATCGTACCAACGTATTCCCTGGGAGGAGACTCSCGTCGCTCCGCCCTGCTGCTGATGGGTCTGCCTGGGGCCTTCTCCTCATCTGTGCTGTTGGTCTCCATCATCTCGTTCTCCTCGGTTGAAATGACGTGCTGCTGTTTGCGGGGTTTCTTCCTCGGGGAGGCCCCAGGGATCAGGTCTCCTGTGGCGGGAGCGCTCAGTGTGTTGGGCTGTGAGGTGAGCCCAGGTGCTGATGATATGCTCACACTGGTGTCTGAGGGGACAGACATATTCACTGTTTTATTCTTTTCATTTTTCAGACCAGATCATGAACAGACGAGCCTCCTACCTGGCTGCGAGCTGTCCATGGACTCGACTTCCTGCTTGATTTTGACGTCGGGGCAGGTGGAGCTGGCAGCGCACGCAGCAGTGCTGCTGGCTGCAGGCTGGGTGGGCGAGGCCACGGTGTTGGCCATCGAGGCGGGGACAGGGGGGGTCACCGCCATGGCTGCTGGCAGAGAGGAGAGAACGGTGGAGGGCTGAGAGGGAGGCACGGGACCAGGTGTGGCCAGCATGGTGGGGATGGCCTGGGCCAGGTGCTGGGGGTTGGAGGCCACTGCCTGCTGCTCCCCTCCCTGAGCTGGCAACGCTTCGACAGCAGCCATGACGGGAGGGGCCACCGCCATGTGCACCTCCGCTTTGGGTTTTACTCTAAAGAAAAGCCATTATTAAGTGTTAGCCCAGAAACACACCAAACAGGAAGTGAGCGTGTAGCTCAGGCTCACCCTGCAGGTCGAGGAGATCCTGATCCTCTCACACTGCTTTCGATCCTTCCACTGGTGGACTCGCTCGGTTGAGCGGGGATCAGGTTCTTACGGACACAACTGAAACAAAAACAAACGGCTGGTTGTTTAAAGGGGACCTATTATGCAAAATTCACTTTTTAAAAATTTTATAACTCAACTTTGGGTATGTACTTCTTAAAAAACAGTCCTAGGACTAAAAAAATGCACCCAAGGGCATATTTACTGTAAGTAAATGTATTTTTAATGTGTATTAACGACAAGTTTTATACTTCCGTCATTTTGTGATGTCACAAGTCGTACGACAACCCACCGGAACCTGCGTTCAGCCTAGCAACCCCCGGGTGAAGCTCCTCCTCCTCAGTATAAAAAGCCGTCACCGTGTTGTTCTGCAATGAGCAGCTCTATTCACAACAAGTCTCCAATAGGGCAATGGGTAGAGTGTTGGACCAGAGAGAGGAGACCAAGGTTCGAGACGGGCACGGTCACAAATTAATTATTTATTTATTTACATTCGTTATGAACACGTTTTCTCATGCACCTCTATTGTTTAGCTTATTAAAGCCTTGTTAAA